CTGGAAATCTTCGCTTTGCTTCCCCACAATGCAGTTTGGCGAAAAGTGAGGCAACGTGACGTCACCCCGTTCAAAGTGAATGGGCAGAAGCGTTGGAAGATTTTTTTAACGCTGCTGTGTGGACGGGCCGTAACTGTAAATATCACCAGCCACTAATCCTGTTGGTGATTAAGGTGAAACACAACTTGGGGCACGTCACGTATTTGTTCACACCGAGATAAGAGGACAAAGCAAACATAACCATTTTACAAGAGTATTTGTGTTGTGAGATGTTTTCCTGACTAGGAGGTATTTCACTTTGCACACCCACCCTTAGCAAATAAGCTCTAAAGTGAACATGTGCTTTGGGAGCCTTAACCTCAATAGGTGCACACAAACACAATCACATATTCACACCTGGGAAACAGTGTACACAATCATACATGATTACACTCATGCAAATACACCGATAGACTTCTAGCCTGTGTCCGGATGCTGGTTATTGTGTTTGTCATTAGCAACAGATGTGTTTAACTTAGGCTGGGTGTTTTATTTGCTTTGCCTTCAATATGTCTTTATTCCAGAGTCTGGATTCCTGGTTAGCTTCTGGTAGCCTGGATGTTCTGTGAAACCAGCTCGTTTAATACCATTTGGTTGGTTGTATCAGGCGTTATACCCTTGTATTAGGGCCCTGACATATCAAACTAATAGCAGTAGTTTCAATGGCTGACCAATCAAACATCTAGCTTCATCTCAATGTTTTATCTTAACTGTCTACTGTATATTTTCTACTTTTTAATGCCGTTTTAATTCTACTTTGAGACGTTTAAATTCTAGTATTGTTTATTTCTACTCTGTAATTTCTACTTATGTGCAATGCCTTGTTTTGTTATATTTTATGCTGATGCAACGTAAAAATGTCCCAATTTGGGATCAATAAAGTACCTCTTATCTTATCTTAAATGAACACATTGCATGTCAATGAGAAGTACATACTTACCATAGTTTTTCTGGTAAAATAAATAAAACCTAAAAGGGCCACCAAAGATTTGCTTTGCCCTTACAACAGTCGAAGATAAAAAAAAACATAGCTCCAAGAATAGAGTGGAAACATTTACTATGCTCAGGAACTTAATTAGGAACTGAAAGTCCCCGTTTGTGTTTCAACTGTATCTGAGGAACCGTGAAAATGAGGTATATAATGCTGATTTCTCCTTTGGACTCTGGAAAACGCCTGGAGAAACAGGTCTGGACTCTATCCGGAGTTTCCCTTTCACGCTTAGTACAAGGGAGGAAACTGTTTGCCCGGTCTGAATGAATCAAACATGTTCATTCTCTCATGTATCTCCTCAGGGTAATGTCCTGATCATTTCAGAGTTGCAGTGTATGTGTGAAAGGAACTTAAGACTAATAACACATTAAAAGCAATGGCATTGTTTGTCATGCACTATCACTTGTACAGGATATACAATTGGCATCCAGTGATTGCTTAAGATGTGACAGCTGCAGCCAAGTTTGAACAGCCTTAACAACCAGGCTTGTGTTTGAACAGTCAGACATTTTCTGCACAATAAACTCTGACCCGATAAGAAGTACTAACCCCAGGAAGTGTCACAGAGAAACGTAAGTTAACCCCTGATTCCCCTAACGTTAAGGATATCCTAAGAAGGGATCGGTTTCTGGAAAATCCCTCCTATGAATAGATAAGTGGTGAAATCATTGATTAGCTTCAGAACAGGATTTACACCGATAGCAGCGATTTGAGATGGTCGAAAAGTCCACCAATAAGGGCTGACCCAGGAAAGGGGACCAATAACTGGAGCAGAGAAACTTTAAGTCTGACCCTCTGAGGTTCAGGATATCCTAAAAGGGTTCAGTTTCTGGAAAATCCCTCCTATAAACAGATGAGTGGTGAAATCATTGATTAGCTAGTCAGAGTAGCATTTATGCCGATAGCAGCGATTTGAGATGGTCGAATAAAAAACAACAAGTCCACCAATAAGGGCTGACCAAATTGAAGTCTGACAATCATTCCTCTGGGGTTCAGGACATCCTAAAAGCGATCGGTTTCTGGAAAATCCCTTCAGTAAATATGTTGTATGAAATAATTGATTTGCTAATCAGAACAGCATTAACACCTATCAGTGATTTAAGATGATATATCTAACAAAAGGCAACCAATAAGGGCCAATCCAAGGAAAGGGGGACCAGGAGGTGTAGCAGAGAAATGTAAGTTAGACTAGACAAAAGTTAAACAAGTACAAACCACAGACTGTCTGTGTCATGGAGAATACAGTCGCTGGTTTATTTATGTCTGTAGGC